TCTTTCCCTGCTGAAATAAATTGTCACATTCTTGTCTGAAACCGTGAGCTTTTTGTGCCTCCCATTGTGACAGATACTCGGCCACAAGAGAGGGCCCCTGTGTACAGAAACGCATTGTCTGCCCTTCTTCTTTGCTTTTGATACTCCGTTTGACTACTGTGCAGTGGTTTAGTTGTCAGGTGTGTTTGTTTTCCTTTCTCCAGAAAAGTGTTTTAAATACAAATTAGCAAGAGTTCACTGCCAGGCAATGAAAGCTGTAGGCTCGTGTTCTTTTAGCTCCTGTATTTCTGTCAGGATTTGGTTGTGCTTTTGTAGTTGTTCCTAGGCTGAGAGTGGGAGACAAATCTTCTGGGGTAGAGACTCAAGTCAGCTTTCCCTCTTCATCAGTGCTTTGAGAAGTAGTACAACAGCATGTAGGGGGAAGGTCCCCCAGGAGAGCAGCCTTGCCCTGCTGACATGGGATATCTAATTAACTAGCAGACTAAACCAACATGAGGATTAGTCAGCTCTGGATTCTAGTGACTCATTTTCAACCACTATCTTAATTCCTTCCGTTGAACAGAGATGTAATGCTGGCAGCTGACACTGGCTGCTCATTTTTGTGTCAGAATCAGAAAATCCAGTATCAGGCTGCAGCGTTTGGCATCGGTGTATGCTAGACCTGTCACAAGCCTCACATGACAGAATTGCTGAACTGGCTCCCACCTGGCTTTCAATTTCTGAGAAGGGGCGGAAGGAAGACATTCAGGGAGAGGGCAATTTCAGCAGAGGCTGGTTGAAAAGCAGCAGTACATAAAGAGATAAGCATGTTCTTGACATCTCAGGTCCTAGATTAGCTTTATCCCTCTCACTCCAGAAATGAGTCTAGCCTACTCTGGCATCTGTGTCTAGGATTTCCAAAGGAACCCAGAGGAGATAGGCGTAGAGTTCCCAAACTGGTCACTTTATTCAGGTGGAATTACTGCTGAAGCCAAGCGGTGCTCTGGCCATGTTTCTTTCCTGGTTTCAGTGTGATTGTCATGTTGCCTAACTCAGTTCAATTGTTAATCAAAACACTAATTGGCCCTGCCGAGGTAACTGTTCAGAACAGCATTCATCTGACCGTGTGTTGTTTGCAAGAGAAAAATATTTTTCAAGAGCTCTTGGTCTGACGTTGTCATTTGTATTTATTTGTTCTGTGTTTAGGTGTATCTAGGGTGGGCTGGTTTCACCCTTAAACTAGGTTGCTTATAATCTGGGATAAGTATGTACAAAAAAAAATGAAAAAGAGGGTTCCTTATACTACAAACTTCTGCAGCGAGAATATACCATTTAGAGTGCTTTGCAATTGACCATTTTTGTGTTGGCAGATTTCTGGTGCACCATTGTGGATAGTTCAGCACAGAGTTACCTTTGGTTTTAATACATTAGTTCTGTGATGAATCTCCCTTAATGTTCATAAAGATTTGAGAAGAAAAACATTACAGATGCAGAAGGAAATTATTACCTTAGAACATGCGTCACTATCACTGGGCTTAGGAATAAGATGGATTGCTGTAAAGTTTGCTATTTAAAAACACATTCTGAGATCTGAAAGTAGCACAACTCTATCCTATTTTTCATTCTGGCACATGGGATGTCTTTAAATATCAAGGGCAGTTATGACTCCATGGTTAAATTTGCTGCATAGGCATCCTGCTATAGTGCACAAGACTTCCTATCTTTTTTTGCATCTCTCTTAAATAGAGTGTGGACATGCTTCCACAGTTTTGGAGGAAAAAGAGCTCATGTTTTGATGGGTTGCTGTTCCCAATAGCCTTCAATTAGGTTCTCTTCCAGATTTCTTTTTTATTTCCCTGCTATTTTGAATTAATATATACCTTCATGTGGTATCTCTCACAATATGCTTTTCCTTGCCTCACATGGTTTCTTCTATTTGGACATTTAAAGAACACTGTAATTAAAATGCAGCATAAGACTGTTAAAAGATTAATCATCCATTCCTCTCTTCAATCAATAGGTAGTAAAAACAATAGAATAGAATAGAATAGAATAGAATAGAATAGAAGAGTTCCAGTTCATCTTCACCAGATATCAGCCCAATATGTTCCTCCTTTTGCTATTAACACACTTAGAAAGGCCTCTCTTGTTGTCTGACACAACACTGGCCAGTTTCAACTCTAGTTGAGCTTTGACCTTTCTTGCCATTGGGACCTGGGCCTTCCTTTGGGGCCCAGCAGCAGCTCTTGGTGCCAAACCCAGCAGCCACCTTCTGCCCCTCCCCTCATCTTGCATGGCCAGCTTTGCTGCCGAAGGGGTCACGGGGACGTGTGTGAGAGGAGAGCGAGGGACCCTGGGGAGCATGGAGAAGATGCGCTGCCATTTCTGTGGGGCTGACTCTCAGCAGAGGGGAGTTGTGCTGGGGGAAGTCCTGCAGAGACCACGCGATGGCAAGGGCCATCGGGGAGTGCTGGGGAACTGGCGGTGCCCATCTGCCAAAGAGGGGTCCTTTCCCAGTGGAGGAGAAGAAATGCCTGTGCCAAGGCTGGATCGGGATGACGTGCTCCTCAAACTTGTCATCCCCCCACACAGAGTGCAAGATGGAGGTGATCCTCCACTGGCAGACGGGACACTTGGGCTTGGTCTCAGCCCACTGCAGGATGCATGCATAACAGAATTGGTGGAGGCATGGCATCGTGTAACTGCCCTCCTCCCAGCTGTCAAGGCAGATTGGACAGTGGCTGTCCAGCTCCACGACCACATGAGAAGAGAAGAGAAGAGAAGAGAAGAGAAGACCTTTAGCACTTGAATGAGGAGAAAGAGGCCCCAGCAAGACAAGACAATGCAACTCAGTGGTGTGCAGATGAGCGCAAAGAGACCCTTCAGGTCCATAGGGCCAGGCCCCACAGCACTCAAATCTGGAGAAAGGGCCCCTGCTGCAAGAGCACAGGGCCAAGCACCATGGCACCTTGCTGAAGGGAAAGGTGCCCTGCAAGAGCAGAGGGCCAAGACTCACGGCGCTGTGCTCTGGGGAGAGATGTTCTCAGAGAGTACAGGTCCAACCCCATGGTAGTCAGAGCAGGGTAACGAGGCTGCACAAGACCAGAGGGAGAAGCCACATGGCGTTCTGCTGAGGACGAGAGGAAATGGTGGGCATAGCTCCAGAAAACGGGGGAGAAAGCAGCACGGGTGGGGATAGCAAAACACCACCTGCACCATTGGCAACACCGAGACTTTTTCTGCAGTTTTCAGGACTTCATTTTCTTTTACTGCCTGACAATGAGACCTGGAGGGCCGGGAGCCCTTGAGGGCCAACATATGCCCCAGCCCTTGTTTCAGCAGTGCCTG